GCCATTTTTTCCCTTTAAAAACTCTGCCTCCCTGAGACTCAGGGCCTCACTTTCTAACCTGCTATGTCAAGGAAAATTGAGCTTAAGCTTGAATAAAGATCCTCATGTGATTTGCAACAGACTCCACTCCTAGTGGTCTTTTGTGGTCTCTCGAATCGGACACAACACAATCAGTTCAATTACAGGTGCACAATAAAGCTTAAGGTGTGACTACAAAGAAACACTTTTACAAACATGAGAATTGGTTCTGTAGAATGCCTAAAAGTTAATGTGGTCTCTGTTCAATAGCATAGAGGTCAGTAGGCCATAAAGTACATGTGACATTTCCCCTAAGGATGGGAGGAAAGAGTCTGGGATAATCATTCTGGGGAATTTGGGTGAGATCTGCCTCACCCAAAAGTAGGAGAGCCCTGCCTCAGCAAATAGCAAAAAGGTCACCAGGTCAATAACAAAATATACTCCCAGCCTTTTGCGTTAAATGCAGGTACTTTACCTCCTTCATTGAGACAATCCCTTGTGTGTTTAACATTCCTTATTTTTCTAGACATCAATGGGTTTGGTTGTGCCTCTGAAAGCCTCACTAGATAAGAATGCTAAAGAGTGAAAGTTCCTGCTTATTTTAAGGCAGATTCAGAGAGATCTTGTGGTCTTTGCTTAATGATCCCAGACATGTCACCTGGATGGCCTTGTGTTGCCCCAAGGGAAACAAAATGGTTCTGGGCCCCTATGACTTGGCTTAGAGCCCCCCACCCCTTATGATAGTGACATGGTTCAGCCTGCCAGTAGTGTAGGGGAGGGGCTAGAGACTTCTTTATAGCACTTGGACCTCTCGGTGGATGCTCTGTTTGGGCACTCCCTTTCCTCCCCTCCCCTCTTCTTCCCTCTTCTCTCCTCTTCTCTCTCTGGGAGGGAATAGCATCATGGAAGAAGTTCCAGGTAAGAGATAGGGATTTTTTTTCCCTGGCCTTGCAGGAAACACAAAGAATCAGCTGGCAGGACACAGGTGAAAAAAGATTTGAGGACAGAGAGCTAAGGAGCTCTCATGGGTTTGGAGGAGCTCAAGAGAAAGATAGACTGGTTAAGTAAAAGGACATGCTGAGATACTAGGTTTTTACCTACAGTCCCTGCCTCACATGTCTTTATTAGGAATAAACAGTAGAGAAATGAAGAGAATTATTACAGGAAGAGATGTAATACATTTTAATTCAAATGTATAAAAATAAAATTTAAGGTTCCATACACAGAAACCATTAACCAGCTCTGTAACTCCAATCCCAAGGCATCTAATGCCCTCTTCTGGCCTCTCCAAGTACTACACACACACAGTTCAGGCAAAACACTCACATACATAAAATAAAAATAAAGCTTAAAAGAAAAGAATTCTCTACAGTAATGTCACAGCCTTGAGAGAGACAGCAGTCAGGGCTAGTTAAAATGAACTCCTCTGGTCCTTCGTGAAAGCAGCTGTGGCCTTCCCCTGAACCAGCTTGCTCAGAAGGAAAAGCAGCTTTATTCTGAGTTTAGAATAGTTCAGCAGAACTATTTATGAAAGAACAGTAACCATGGTACTGTTAGATGGATATTTTCATCTATATTTCATCATGGATACTGTTCCTTGATATTTTCTGTATTTGTTCTCTCTGACCTTTGTGTGAGAATTTTGGTACTGATACATCTTTTGAATCTATCTTTTAGATCATGTTAGATGATATATTATGATCTAAAAGGTAGTTTTGCTATATAAAGCTCTGTCTTCCTCAGTGCCTAGATTTTCAGTGTTCCTGTCACAATTTAAGTTTTTCAAAGTATACTCTAGGGCCTGAACCTACAAGAGACTTAAGGATGACAGCTTATGTGGAATGCTGAATCTGTTCTAAGCTGGGCCCTCTCTGGGCACTCACTAGTTCTACATTCAGACAGTTATTAAAGTGATTTGTTTAAATTAATCTTTTAATCTTTTAATTTGTTTCAGTTAATCTTTTAAATCAATCTTTCTCCCTGGAAAGGCATATTAATTCTAGGACAGAGGTACATCCAGCCTTTCAGAAAATTTTTTCTGAGAGAAGTTCTCTTGTGTTGACTCAGGCAGTCTTGATTCCACCCTGTTGCTCCCTAGGGCAATGACATTGTTGTCCTCTTGATTAAACCAACTAAATTCCTAAGGTAAAGGTCTGTGCCACCCCTGCGTTTCGAAATTACTCGTTTGAATCATGTAGTCAACTATTCATTGTAGTAAGGTGTAAAAGATTTGCATGAAGAGCATAGTTTCTGCCTTCAGACCAGAAGAGGGGGAATAGTTTATTGTGTACCTGGCTGGCAGAAACAGGGTAGGCAATCAGCTTCTGCAGTCGCCAGTATGAAAAAGACCCTGATTACTGGAGAGGATGGTGATTTTGTAATTTTGCAACATGTATTAATTAATATCATGTGAATGAAGACAGACCAAATTGTTGTGTGTATAATTTGGGGAGGTTAGCTTTAGCCAATAAATACTAAATTTACAATTGGGACACTTTCTTATGAAGATATATGCAATTCTCATTGACATAATTAAGTCAGCTCACTAAGTTAAGACAATGGCTTTTGATTGTAACTTTGTGTCAGGTTACAGATCTCAGCAGCTGACATTGCATATTAAGGCAAGGTCAAACAGTATCTTATTAATGCCCTATCTTCTTCCAGGGAATGGCTTGCTCTTTTTCAAAGTCAGCATAACTATGTACTTTTATAATTACATTTATCTTTTTTAAAAGTCAGTTATTAGCTTCATTTCTTTAACTTTAATTTTCTTTAAATGCATCACTGCTCTCATCTTTCTTTTTTTCATCATTTAATTTTTTTTTCACAGTTTATTCATTATCCCTATTGCAGCCCTCTCCCTCAACTCCTTCCTATCCTACCCTCCCTCCTTCTTCCCTCTTCTTCCTTACCCCCAGTCCACTGAAAGGGGGAGTTCTCCACTATTGCCATCTGCCCATAGCTTGTTAAGTCTCATCAGGACTGCCTGGATTCTCTTCCTCCGTGGCCTGGAAAGGCTGCATCAAAAGGGGTGAGTGATCAAAGAGCAGTCAACTGAGTTCATGATGGAGGCAGCCCCTGCTCTCTTCACTCAGAGATCCATAAGGAGACTGAGCTGCCAGTTTGCCACATCTGAGCAGGGGTTCTAGGTCCTCTCCATGCATGGTCCTGTTGGTGTATCAGTCTGCAGGACCCCCTGGGCTGCTTTCATCTCTTATCTGTTTCTATTCTTCAATGTTTCCCAGGGATTAAGGATTTCTTTCCATTTTCACAAGTGCTGTTGATCATTTATTTGTCTTTAGAACAATGTCTCCAGAAGCCCAGGCTTGCCTCATGCTGTTTAATTGGGAATTGTTTTGAACACCCAATCCTGCCTCTGCTACACGGTGCCAGGCAGACAGTCCTGCAACACCATCCAGGCTGGGCCTTGATTGGTCAGGGAAAAGGAAAAAAGACCAGTGAATGAGTGCCTTCTAACCTCTCTAGCTTTTATTGGAGACTTATAACTGAAGAGGGACCTGTGTAAGAATTGAGTTCACTGGCCAACATTAAAGCAGGTGTCATCACTGCACTAACGGGAGCAGTAAGAAAGAGGGTGAAAGTATTCTGCTTTGGCTATAGTTGAAGTTAGCAGTGAGTAATGAGGTCACCAATATTAGATGATTCATAATTGCCTGGACTGGCCATTTCTAAGGTCCACAGACCAGGCAAACAAGAATCTGAATAAAGAACTGAATTTATTGTGAAACCAAATCACTGGAGTTACATTAATTCAACTAACTAAAACCCAAATAGTTGGGTCTTGTGTGGGATTTTTCTTTTCATTTGTTGTTGTGTGTGTGTGTGATTTTTCTTAATTATAGGTTTTGAAGTGGAAAAACCCTTCTTTAAACTGGATCTTTCGAGGTGATAAGATCCATCTTTATGCCATAGCTTCTGGTGGCAGCCTACATATATAAAGGGCATTGAAGATGGTAGTTCTTTCTCTTTTCCTGCTTGCCCTACTTTGGCTAGCAAGATCATACCCCCTCCTCCACTTTCCGCCACATCCCCTCTACTGCACCTCACCCGGGCATTAGAGCCTCCTTCATCAGAATTCTGCTATATACGGAAGAGCAGCTGAGAAGCTACATGGACTAAACCTATCTTGTAGTCTTCAACTTTGTATTGATAGATAGCCATTGTATGACTAGTTGGACCACAGCCTTTGGATACAGCCTTCTAATACATCCACTTTCTACATTCATGCTACCAGTTCTGTTCATCTAGAGAACCTTTACTAATAAAGCTGTTCGGTTTGTTTGTTTGTTTGCTTGCTTGCTTTTTCACCTTCCGACTGAGAAAGATGTGCTAGCTAACAACAGTGCTCCACAGTGTTTTTCATCTCTTTCCTGCTTTTCTCTCAGGGCTATCTGGAGTCTCATAAGTACCAGGTGAAAAGTATCTCCAGTTTATCTGACCCCAGCATGAAGTCACAGAACAAAAATCTTACTTTGTTTCCTAAAATCTCTCTTTAATTGTTAATATTCGTGACACCCTTTACACCTGTGGCACAGATTGTTCACTCCGCTGCAAGCTGCTTAATAATCTGTGCAAGCTATCCTCCTTGGTTCCAGGAGTTAGAAGGGAATTGTCTAATAAGTGCTGTGATAGGAGTTGTGGGAAGCTCTGGAGTCGGTGGCTGAGCAGCGGGAGCTGGAGTTGTCTATCTTCCCAGGGGCAGAATGTTGAAACAGAAAAGTCTGCTTTTAGCGGTCAGACACAGAGCTACAGAAATGTAAATCCCTGCTGATACGGAAAAGGTTTGGCTCTGGACTAGAAGGCTGGGCCAGGAACAACTAAGCTGAGTCCCTTCGGCACACCCTACCCCAAAGGGAGGTGCTCATGTCACTCAAGGCTCACTGTCCAATCAGGACCTCCACGCGGCCAGTCCCGTCAGAAGTGGAGGAGGGTTCTTCCGGGTTCGCTGCTGCAGTTTCAGCCCGGTGGCTCAGCAGGCTGGTGAGGTTGCTGTGCTGTGCTCTGAGCTCCGCCTCTGGGTGTTGTGAGGGGAGCTCACATGAGCTCCGAAGTCGCGATATGGTGAGTTTGTGATCATTGCCCCTAAGGGGGAGAAGCAGGCTTTTCAGAGCCAGTTACAGCCTGGAGCCCAGGCCTTAGGAGCTTTCTCTAAAGCCTTGACGTATAAATTAGAAAATACAGAGTTCCTTCTGTAAAACCAGAATATGCTTGGGAGAGCTGGTAATGGTCTGGGGCCCGGGGCCATTGGGGAGGGCTGGCTTCACATTCTGAGAACTCAGCTCTTCCTACCACATGGGGCTGTGGGTTATCAGTCCCAGGCCACTGTGGGCTTGGTCAGTGATGCCCTTAGAATACTCTGGGTTCCTCTTGTGCAGCGTTGTTTTGTTAGACTCCTCCTGAGTTTGTCCCATTGTAGGATAGTTTCTGCTAACTTCTTAGAAGTCTCCCTTGTTCTTTCATTTCTCCCCTGTAAGTAGTGGACAAGCTGCTGTTCTTAAGAAGCCTACCTGGCATAAAACAGAGCTTGTTGTAACCCCTCCCCAGCCCAGCCTTTATATTTCCAAACGTCTACTTTTCCTGTCTTTTTTGTCCTCTGGGACCTTCCACTTAGGACCCTGAAACTGAAGAATGGCCTGCTCTTTCAGGGCATTGGTGTACTTAAGAATTAATTCTGGGAAAATCTTTGCTGTGTAAATGTCCCATCTGCCCAAGTGGCTAAGTTGCAGTCTTCAGTCGGTATTAAATTGTTCAAAATATAACCTGGGGCATGAACATAAAAGAAACCTAAGGATGACAGCATATATGGAATGCAAAATCTTCTTTAGGCTGGTTCTTACTTTAGCATTAACCTGAGCTAGATGCACGCTATTTGTACAGAGATTTTTCTTAATTAATCTTTTAATTGTGTGTGGAGTGATTTATCCCAGGGAAGGCACATTAATTCTAGAACAGCTGCAACTTCAGCCTTTTACAAAAATATTTCTGAGAGAAGCTATGCTGACTTAGGTGGCTTCGGTCCTAGTTTGTTGCTCCCCTGGGGAATGGCCTTACTTTCTTTTTGATCAAACTCTCTAAATTTTAAGTTGAAGGCTGGCTGTACCACAATAGAATTTTAAAATTACCCAATTCTGTCAGGTAATGAATGTCCATTGCAGTAGCAGGAAAAGGATTTGCATGTGGAGCATGGCTTCTGCCCTCAGAGTAGAACAGGAGGAGCAGTTTACTGTGAACAGTGCAGGGTGAAACAGGGTAAGCAATAGCTAGACCACAGACTAACTTGTAAGACAGTCAGCTTGCAGGGTTCACCATTATGAAAAAGGACCTGATTGAGGCAACATGAGTGATTTTGTAATTTCCCAGCATGTATTCATGCATGTGAATGAAAACAGATTTTATTGGTGGATTTACAGTTTCGGGCAGTTAGCTAGAGCCAATGATTATTGAAGTTCCGTTAGGGGAGAGTCCTATGGAGAGATGTGCAATTCTCTTTGACATAGTTAAGTCAGCTCATAAATTTTAGACACAGGCCATTGGCTGTAGCCTTTTGCTTCAGGTTACAGGTCTGAACAGCTGACATTATGCATAGGGCAAGGTCAAACAGTATCTGCTTTTTCAAAGTCAGCATAGTGATACATTTTTTTCTTATTATATTTATCTTTTCAAAAGTCAATTCTTGATTTTACTTTTTAAATTTTATTTTCTGTAATGTATCACCTCTTGAATGTCTTCTTTCTATTCTCCAATGTTTCCTGGTCATTAAGAATTTCATTTCTTTTTCTCAAGTGCTTTGATTCTGTGTTTCTGTTTAGAGCAATATCTCCTTGTAGCTCAGGCTTGTCTTATCCTATGTAATTGAGAATTGCCCAATCGTGCCTCAGCTACCCAGTGCTGGGAAGACAGTCCTGCAACTCTTCCAGGCTAGGCCCTGACTGGTAAGTGAGAAGGAAAAAAGACCAGTGAATGAGTGTCCGTTGGCCTTCCTGACTTTTGGGGGGAAATTACAAATAAAGAGGGACCTGTACAAATTTGAGTTTACTGACCAGCTTTGAAGCTGGTGTAGTCACAACACATGGGAAGGGGAGGAGGGAAGGTAAGAACTTTTCTGATTTGAAAGTATTTGGCATTAGCAGCAAGTAGTCAGGTAATCAATTTTAGATATTGGCCACGTTGCGGAGGGGGGGGGGCGCGTTTCAAAGACCAGGGCAATCAAGAATCTGGATAAGGAACTGAACTTATTTCTACAAACCAAATTTTTATAGTTATACTAATTTAACCAACACAGAAGATCTTGACAAACTGGTGTCGCTATACTTAAAAGGATTGTTATTTTAACTCTGAAAATGTACAAGCTGAGAGAAAAAGGAACGAGTAACACTTGGTGTGCTCTTGGAGAATACTGGGCCCGAAAGCCTGTTTGAGCTTTTTAAAGTAACCTTTGAGATTAGAATAAAATCATTTCAATCTTCTCTTCATTACTTCTACTGTTACGTCTCAAACCCTGGAACAAAGGACAGAAATGCCTGTTTAACAAATCAAAGCAGACCTGGCTGCCAGGTTCTCCCAGCATCCCTTAGTTCCTATCTGTTAGAGGGTATGCCTAGTATACACCACCCTCTAGTCCAAGGATTGGCTAGCCCTTCTCCCAGCTGCTCTTCCACCTGCAATCAACCATTTTGGTTACTTGGTCTTTGTCATCTATCCTTTAGCCTTCTGTCCTATTGATCTGAAGTTTGGCTGCAGAACTTCCCAATGTTAGGTTGGATGGCTGTTTTGTGTGTAATGAAATGTGCACACAAAGGACCCTGTGACTTGGAAGATGAACAGGGGCTCTAGGCTTCTACTAACATACAAATTAACCAGACTAGGGCTCTGTCTGATCCTAGGGTGGAAGGGCAAAGCTGGGAAGGCCTGTGCTGTTTGAGTCATTTGCTCTCTAATCCTCCAGCAGGAGAGCTGCTACTGTCTAGAGACCCAGCTGGCTGCTCAGAGCTAATGAGAGACTCTGGGAAGGCCTGGAACTCACAAGCACCAGCAGGAGATAGCTTGCAGATCCTTTACAGGATTCTCCTCTGAATCAGCAGTAAGGAGGAGTAAGGAAGACCATAAGTCATACCATGATTGAGTGTGGGGTCTACAGACCCCAGACCAGGAAGAACAGGTTGGATAAGCTATCAGAGTCCAATCTGCTGGGATGGACTGTGAGCTGGACTTTTCTGTTGGTACATGTGGTTACATGGGCAGAAGCCCTTGGCCTCTGAGCCTCTCTGAGTGTGGATTCCTTGGGAAGAGGGAGGCTCTGTAGCTCTGGCCATAGTAAGCTGTGGTGCTCATAATATCACTATACAGTACACACACTTAGCATTGCTTTTGGTGTACAGTGGGAAGACAGTTCAGAAAAGTTAAGGTCTGGGGTCTAGAAGCCCTGAATGCTACATTCCACATTCAGTTTTGTGTGATAAAATGATCCTTCAGTAATACTTGATTAGAATCCTTTTAATTTTCTGCTACCACCAGTCACAATGGCGTGATTCAGGGAAATTCAGTGCCAGCATACAAAAGCATTGTCTAGGCTGCAGAGTTCTTTCATGTGTACATGGCATTGTGCAGGTGAATAATGCTCTTCTACATCTTGTGATATAATCCATGTGGCAGGAAGTGGATATGCAATTATCCTTCAATATTGTTTCCTATGTGGACATCAGAGGGGTTCCCTTTGCCTGAGACCACAGTGGGCTTGAGGGGCTACAGAGCCATACCCCACCTTTCTGATCACCTCTATTTCCAGAGAGAGCGCTAGAGCATAGGGGCCTCTCGGTTTGGAAAAGAGATCAGAAGTAGCTGGAGGGTCAGAAATGTAACAGCTTAGGGGTCCCATCGTGTTGTTTTTGTGGGAGTTGTGAAGTCTGTGTTTATTTAGTTTTTAAACACATACAATCAAAGGTAACACTGGTGAAGTTCACTTTTTTTTGTTTTGTTTTCTGGCTGAGTTTCCTTAGGTCTTTTGATGAAAACATGAATATATTTTGGGGCTTATGTTTTTGGCTTTTTCTCTGCATCTCCTATACTTATACAAATATTGTACACATTCTTGATTTTTGTAGTTATGTGATACAGAAGTCATATCGTGCCAAGTACATACTGTTTCTTCATAATCTCATTGAGAATTCTGAGATTTATCACATGGCACATAGCTTTGGAATCAGCTTTCCTATTAGATATTGTAAAAAAAATTCTTTGGATTGTGTTGAATTTATGCTGCAAATTGAACATAACCAACATCTTCCTCTTTTTTTTTTAATAATTTATTTAATTTTATTTTATGTGCATTAGTGTGAAAGTGTCAGATCCCTTGAACTGGAGTTACAGACAGTTGTGAGCTGCCATATGGGTGCTGGGAATTGAACCTAGGTCCTTTGGAAGAGCAAACAGTGCTCTTAATCACTGAGCCATCTCTCCAGCCCCCTTTTTTTTGAATCATCATTTAATGATGTTGTTTACAGTTGTATAAAAGCATGAAAGGTATCATTCTACATAAGCATTTAGTAGACTTTCATAAGCACATGAAACTGAAACTGTTATGAAATAATATACAAAGTCATAGAAAGAGGACATCACTATAGAGTTAGTGACACAGAATACATTTTTATGACCACATAAAAACTCTCTCACTAAGTATGCTTTAGTTAAGAAAACCAAAAGTATGAAAGTAAAACATACTCCAGAATTGACAGTAAATCTGAATGTGACATGGGTTGTGTATTAGCATGCTAAAAGAACTCTGAGAACAGTGGGATTTTTTCACAGATATAAACTAAAATTAGCTAAAACTATGTTGTGTTGTTATAGTTGATGTAAAATTGCACATATTTAGTGTATGAATTCTAATGCATTTGGACATATTACCTACACCCAACAACCCCATTACCACAAACAACACAGTAGACCTTCTTCTCCACACGGCCTCATTCTATCCACGTATATATGTGTCTACACTATACAGAGTTCTCATTAAGTGACAGGATTGCTGTGGATCCCAGCAATCTTCTCAGTATATTTCCCAT